GGGTCCAGCCCCCTCCCAGCTCTCCTTGTTTTAGGGACTGGCCCTGCCCAGCAGCTCAGAAGCCATAGAGGCATTTCCCTATGCCCCTACTCTGGAACAGGGGGTTCAGGCTCCCCAGAGTGAGGCAAAATGGGGTAGATGGTGGGAGGGGCCAGCAGAGAAGATTATGAGAAAATGAAAGCTCAAACCAACATGCACTTATTCTGTGAGCAAGCTATTATTTAAATCAAAACTATGAGAGCCGGCCCTGGGCCAGGCAGGCTGATAAACCTGTCACATAAGCAGACATCTGAGCTCTCCCTGAAACTCCTGCTGGAGAAATGCCAAGCTCTCCGGTCCCTTGTGCCCTGCTGACTTCTGCCCACCACTGGCCCTAAGCCAGCCCACAAACCCTCCACCGTCACTGAGAGATTCCTACCAGGATGGTGCACAAGGACCTGAGCTGGTGTCCTAGGCAAGCTCTGCGGGAATCCAGGCGGCGGCAGATGGTTTCAGTCTCTGCCTCTTGGACAGAAGCACACGACGTAGTAGCGGAGCCAGAGCCTGAAACGGATCAAGTGGGGAAAGCTGGCCTCACTGCCATGCAGGTGTTCAGTTTTCACGGAGCCTTCATGATCACCAGCAAAGCCGTCCAGGGCAGGGCCACCAAGTTTCAGGAAGTGGCAGCTTGTGGCTCACGCAGCCTGGTGAGGCAGAGAGCTCTGGCCAGGACAGCTCCAGCCCAAGCTCTAAACAGAGGAGGAAGCAGGTGGGCTGTACTAAGGCCGGTCCTCACACAGGCCTAGTCTAGGAGACAGACAGGCCTGGCCTTGGTCCCAGCCTGTCACTTGCTAGTGATGTAGTCCTCTCACAGCCTGTTCCCTCATCTTGGGAACGAGGTACACCAAGCCTCCCATTATCCCACTGGAGTGAAGATGACGTAAGTTTTGGAAAGTGTCTACCGCATTGAGGGGAGGGCAGGCACTCTTCAATGTCAGCAGGGCCTCCACCCAGGGCTCTCTGGGTAGCAATGGCAGGAACCCAAACCTTTGGGACTAGGCCAGAGATGAAGCCATTTTTTAATTCAACAAGCACTTCCATAGCCTCCCTTGGGCTAGGTACTGTTCTGATGGCCTTATACTCCTTTAATTCTCTTCTCATTTGAAGAAGATAGGTGCTCTGTTTTCCAGGTGAGTCGACTGAGGCAGAAAGAGGTTAAGAAAGGGGACTTGTCAGTCGGGTGGCATGGCTCATGCCTGTAATACCAGCACTTTGGGAGGCCAAGGCGCTGGATCACCTGAGGTCAGAAGTTCAAGACCAGGCTGGCCAACATGGTGAAACCCCACTCTACTAAAAATAGAAGGAAAAAAAAATTAACCAGGCATGTTGGTGAGCGCCTGTAATCCCAGCTACTTGGGAGGCTGAGGCAGGAGAATTGCTTGAACCTGGAGGGTAGAGGTGGCAGTGAGCTGAGATCGCGCCATTGCACCACAGCCTGGGTGACGGAGCAAGACTCTGTCTCTCAAAAGAAAAAAAAGGGGATTTCTTGTCCAACTTCAAAGAGCCACAAACCAGAGGAGCCAGGATGTAAGTCTAGGTGGCCTGATGTCAGTCTGTGACATTAATGCCTGCATGCTGCTCCCTCACCTGCAGCCATTTCAGGGACTGTCACTGAGGCTGCTCAGCCCCAGGATTCACCTACATGAGCAAGCCCCTTCCAAAGAGGCCATTTGAAGCAGGAGAACCATCATGGTCCTCCTGTGGGGAACAGACCTCTAGCCTCATTGTCCCTGGAGCAAAGCCAGTCAGGACCTCCCTGGACCTCATTTTCCTGATCTGCAGCTAGTTGGTGGAAGGAGCCATGATGATTTAGGCTTTGCCCCCCCACAGGATTGTAAGAGACTAGGGAGGAGTGGGTTTGGAAGTACTTCCCAGGCTGAAGAAAACCCAGGCGGCCCAGGCCCAGGAGTGCGGCATCCATACCCAGCTCTTGCAGTCTGCCTTCAGCTCCCTGGGACTGAGACTCCTCACACCTCAACCTGCCTTGCAGGGATGCTGAGAACATCAAAAGCAAATATGTAGAAAAGATACTGTACTCCACAGGCCCAATGTGACCAAGACTCGGGAACTTCTTTTCTGTCCTACAAGGGAGGATATTTGAGTGCAAATAATTTGCTTTAGGACATGAGCCTGCAGGAAAGGTCAGCCTCTGCAGACGGTCTTCATCTCGAGAATCCAGAGTATTGGGCAACTGATCCTAGCTGCTGCTATCAACCCAGCATGGAGGTTTTTCTCTGGGACCTGGAAAGAAAGGAAAACGCACTTCTTCCACTTACAGCTAGCTGCCAATCACCCGTGAAAACCAGTATTTTCTTTTCCAACTATGCACTATACACATACACACATATATATAAATTTTTTTTTTTTTTTT